AGAGTGCGCGTGTGTGTGGCGTGCTTTTAATATTTTAAACTTTACAGGTTTTAGTTTTAGTTAATAAAAAAATGATATTTTAGTAAATACAATAAATAATAAAGAAGAGATAAGATATAAGATGAACAGTAGCTAAACAAGGATACAAGAGGAGATTAATTGTGCTTTTGAACCTTCTAGAGGTGAAGTGGTGTTGTCAGGAAACACAAAAGAACTACTCCTCAGCTGGAACAGGAAAGGACTAGGATACAAGAGCAATTTGGAATTCTATCCCTGCAGCAATATGGTGGGAAATATGGAGAGAGAAATCAGAGAATCTTTGAACGGAAAAAGGAGAACATATGAAATCAAATACAAAGCAAATCAAAGGATGTAAATAATATAGATTGCTTGATAGATTTACTCAGTTCCTTGAATGTGCAGTAAGGAACTGATTTTTTGGGTGGCTGTTATGCACACAATACTGCGCCAGCTTGGTTGTGCAGCTGGCCCGTACACAATGGTTATTAAGAAAGACACTGCACCAGCTAGGTGCCAGTTTATAATTAATTCAATTACTTTACCGGGTCAAAATAAAAGAACTGGAACTAAGCTTGAGAGCTGAATTCAAAGGACCATCTGGACCAAGTCCAAGAAGACAGCACAGCTATTGAAAAGATCTAAAAAGGGCCCAAAACAATGTGTTCCAATTAGAAGCCGAGTGTCTTAACTGTCTGATACATGTTCACCCTATTTAAATCCCTTGCCTGAATCTAATACACTTTCCTTCACTCAAACTCTTCCAGCGCCACAGGAACTGAAGACAATGAACAAGGAAGTAAAGTATTTTAACAAAATAAAGATTAACTTTTGATTGATTGATGTTCTGCAACGACAACATAACAAGTTAGAAAGACTGGAAAAGTAAAGATATGATGTCAATTGACAAGCCTCGACTTTCAATCAAGACCCCTAACTTTGGACAGTGTAAGTAGTTTTACTGCAACATTGTTGGACTGTTTGATTATGCTTTTACCAGAGGGCCTGCTCGACTCCTCAATGCTTGTGTTCTCTGAAAATGGAATTCATGATATGTTCATAATTGGTCAACTTGCTTTGCTTCTGGAGTTGTTTTGTTTTCTTTTTGGGGATTTTAACTGTGATAATACTTGTGATGTGTTTCCCTGTTAACATCTCCCTTAATCCCTTATTTTCAGCCCTCATGTACTGGATGAAGCTGAAAGATCTCTGCACGATGCATTGTGCGTACTGTCTCAGACAGTAAATGACAGTAGGGTTTTACTTGGAGGTGGATGGCCTGAGATGGTGATGGCTAAGGCGGTTGATGAACTAGCTAAGAAGACTCCAGGTAAAAGATCTCATGCAATTGAGGCTTTTACCCGTGCACTTTTGGCAATTCCAACCACTATTGCTGACAATGCCGGATTAGATAGTGCCGAGCTGATTGCTCAGCTTCGTGCGGAACACCACAAGGAGGAAAGCAATGCAGGAATTGATGTCATCTCTGGATCTGTGAGTAACTGGTTTAAGAATTTTGAAATGAAGTTTGTTGTCTCTGCTTTATTTTTGCTTGAATTTGCCTTTAATTAATGAAGGCAACAATGGAAACGATAAAGCTAAAATTGGTTTAATGTCTTAAAGTGCATGTATGATTGTGTCAATACTTTCAAATAAGATGTACATCTGTACTAAGCACATATTTCACAGTATGGTCAGTTTTCTGTTTCTCAAAAGCAAAAATTATATCTCAAGTCAGATTTGTTTTCTGTCTCAGGAGATTTCACCGTAACCGCCATTTAACTTTTGAGGCATTATTGCTTAATTTGTTTGCAACTCAATGTTTGATAAAGGCAACCCCTCCTCCCCCCGCGCGCGGGAATAAAGTCATTGTTTTCGTATCTGTTGCACAGTCATTGTTTTCGTATCTGTTGCACAAGTGTTCTTTGTTACTTTAAGGGGTCGTTTGGTAGGATGTATAAGAATAATGCTGAATATGGTGTATTAGTAACGCTGATATTAGTTATGCCGACATATTTCTTATCCATTGTTTGGTTTGATGTATTAAAGCATTGCACAATTTTTAAAAATATTATTTGCTTACAAAAATACCTTCATAACCAGTCCATCACTTTATCTTTTTAAAAGAAACATATGTTGAGGAATGTTTTTATATGAAAAAGGTTTTAAAAAAATTATTTCATTTATCTACCTATATTGTAGTATATAACTGAATATATATTTATAAAAAAAAATATGCTAAATATTTATTTATCTACTAGGAATATAATTTTATTTCTCACTTTCTTGGATTATTAGGCAGAGAAAGTTTCAATATAAAAGGAAAATTAGTTGAATACAAGTGCATTCCAGTACATAGTATTAGAGTACAGATTTATAAATTTACAATGAAGAAATTGGCAGAGTATAGATATAAATAGCGGAAGCAATTTTAATATCAAACTTTACATCAAACTTGCATTAAAATAATAGCATATTTTAATCAAGCATAAATTTGAAAGGGCAATTTTGTCCTTAACTAAGCTAATGCATGCATTAAAATCCATTGCATTGTTAATATCACGATGATTAGTTATGCGTAAGATAATACAAAATAGGGTGTATAACTAATGCACAAGTTCAAAAATTGTGCCAAACAAGGTATTATTAAAACATAAAGCTAATGCGTGCATTATTTTATCTATTGCATCCTACCAAACGACCCCTAACAGTAAAACATCAGCTATTGGGACCTACTCTGATCTCATTTTTCCATGCCTGTTGGGTTGTTAGTTAGCTGTAGAAATAAGAAGTCTTAAGTGAGTTAGATGACATTAAAAGCAATAGAAGATGGAAGGAAAATAGCGTCTTCTTGTGTGGCTTAAATGGAAAGGGAGAAGCAAGAGAAAATGTCTTGTTCTCTTCGGACTCAGGAGGGGACTTTCTTCCATCTTTTTTGTTTTGTTTTGGTTCTTTATGTTGTTTTCCTTGTTTCATAACACTAATAAAAATTCATAATCATGTGCAGATGATCCACTCTCTTGTGCTTGCGTATTGGCAGTACTACTTGTCTAAATTTACTTATCCAACTTGGAATGTTTGACAGGTTGGAGATATGGCAGAGCTAGGAATATCTGAGTCGTTCAAAGTCAAACAGGCAGTGTTGCTCTCTGCCACTGAGGCTGCTGAAATGATCCTAAGGGTTGACGAAATCATCACTTGTGCCCCAAGGAGGAGAGAGGGAATGTAAAAACAATATTGGTCATGTTTAAGCTGTTGAGATGACTCGTATTTTATTATGGTTTGAGAATTTGAGATGGTAGGTGTGGGCTGTAAACGAGTCAAATGATAGATTGCTATTGGAACCATGCTAAAGTGCACTGCGCTGAGTAGTTTCTTTTGAGGAGCAAATGTTTTGGTTTGTTTTCATAATGTATGCATGCTTCTATAGAAAACATTTGTTCGATACGCACTTCTCACTGATGACATCAATATTTTGAGTGGCTGTTCTATAGAAAATTTTCTTGAGGGAACACGAGAGTTTTGGTACCATGCCTGTGTTTTATTGTATGTGCTAACCTTAAACAAGAGGCGGAAACTATCTTTTGGAAATTGACTAAGGTTTTACTGGAAATGAAGTATTCACTTGATTCCCTCCCCCTTTGATCCCCTTTGTTGGAGCTATTACTCTTTTAGACCTTTAATGAGCTACATTTTTTTGTGCAGACACAAATTTAAGAAAATTATTACTAATTTTTTTCTTCGAATTTTGCAAAACTTGTTTGGTCCCTTCATTGACCACTATTTCTTTTAGATGATAGTGTAATGACTAGGAACACAAGTTTCTTTGCTCTCCTCTTAGCAATGAGCTGTCTAGGGCTACTTTTAAAAAATTTGGATTCTGTAATAAGACCTCATTCATGGGCGTTCTCCGATTTAGTCGTTCGCTTCTTTCCAGATTACAGGAAATGAAAACTAAATCTAGACCAGTAAATAGACTTACCTTTTTCAGAGGGAAAGAAAACAGAAAATTTTGAGATTTCTTCACACATGCATGGAGTAGGTAGTCATCGGACTTGTTAAATTAGTAAAAAATCAATCTAAACTGACATCAGCTGAGAAATCATCTTTCTTGACACATCTTCAAAAACCCAAACAAGTTCGAAAACTGAGTCTAACATGCTACTCGTAAATTACATCTAGTGCACTTACACCTTGCTGCAACAAGTAAGCTGCCAAAAAGCTTAGATGTCCAACTTTGTGGAAGCATAGACTTGCTTCTTTTGATGCATTTTGAACTTGAACTTGGACCATAAGAGGGCACTTCAAAGACTAGAACTTCTGGCGAAAAGACAATCTTGCCTCAGTGTCCTTGACTCGTAGCGCATCATGCAACAGTGTTGGCAATTGCAATGCCATTTTAGGAGCTGCCAACAAATAGCTTTGACTTTTAGCAAGAGAAAAGACACAATAGATACCTGAAAAAAGTTTCCCATGGAAAACCAAATCTTAGAAAATATTCGTCAATCATTTTCCTGAATCTGATAGCACATCGTAATCGTGTTATGGAAAATATCTTCATTTTCCCTTGCAACAAAATTTACGGAGAAAAAAGAATTGGACGAGTTTATGGATGCATAGACAAAGATCATAATATTTCTTATCTTTCCTTTTTTTTAAAAAAAAATTGTCATTCATTCTTTTGGTTTTGGAGTTTCCAAACACTTGCTGATTCGGATAAGTACTGATTCTGCAGGATATGCACACATGTAAGAAAAGTATAGTACAGTGCAAACTCAAAAATATCTGCTGACCTCTATAATTTATGTTATCTTGACATCACTAAGAAGCCTAGCAGCCATTGCACCACATCTTCTAGCTTCCCAATCACTAAGCTTTCTGCTCTCTACATCCAAAACCAAGTTTTTGTCTACCTTGCCCTCATTGTCAGTCGCATCATCTTTATTAAACCCATAATTACTATCATCTTCCTCTGGTCCATGCATAGTTTCTCTTTCCCCAACCTCCTCGGTCTGCTGCTGAGCCATCTCTGTAACAATTCCCGAGGTATTTCCTTGTGGCTTAAAGCCCATTATGTATAACTGGATGCTTGGGTGTTGATAGGTACTATGCATCTGCATAAAAGTAGGCCCCCATCAGTAAAAATTAAGGAATGTTCAAAAATCTTAATTGATCTATAACCATAACTCTCGACATAGGACAGATTGGAGATGCAAAATATCAGGTCCACGGTTCGAGAATTTGACCGAGAACTTAAAACGCAACGAAAAATTCATGGTCAAACTGATTATTTATAGGAAGCCCTTTCCACACAAAATCAACAAAATCATTTCCAAATGCAACGTTTACTGCGACTATCTCAAGAATAGATTACCATAATTAAGTTCCAGAATATACACACAACTGATGATGATCGGAGAATGTATGGCCTAGTTGACGGCTAGCATGAGATGTTACCAGGATGGGCTGGAAGTTACCTTTGCTTTTGGAACAGTTTTGACTTCAAAATTACTCTTCCACATCTCAAGCATCTTTTCATGGACAATTGTCGATCGGATTTCATGACCCAACTATAAATGAAAAGTTCATTAATAATATCAAAAGAGCTCTGTATAAAGAGAATAAATTTTGCAAGTTCTATAATAATTTAAAGGATACAACACCAAAATTGTCGTCTTCGGTCCAGACAGTGCAATTATTGTCTGCAAAAGTGGTTCCAACAGATGCTCTGCATAAACCTAGTAAAGACAGGTAATTATTAGTGCAGATTCCTATAATCTATATATATATTAAAGCAAGAAAGTTTGCCTTCTCGTTTAGCCAAATGACAAGTTATTAAAAAGCCAAGTGGCAACCTATTAACAAGACATTTGGCAACTTATTTCAATTAAAATAGATGTTTTAATATACAGATTTTTCGGCCAAAAAACACTCAATCATCCCAATTTTATCGCCTCTTTTCTAGAAAATTCCATTACTTACAGTTAATTGTATATATTTTCAACTAAATAAATTAAAAAACACTGAAAACTATAGAAACACCACATCTTAAACAAAAGAACGGTGTTTCATATTTACTAAAGCTTCTTATCTCTATCTCTTCCTAAAAAAATTCCCAATTCTCATCTTAACTCAATTGTCAACATCACTTGGTCGTGGAAGATGAGAAGAAAATTAGCAACAAGAAACAGTGTATGTTTACAAAATCAGAAACGGGCTAAGACGACCTCAGATCGGAATGGTTATTATCTAAAATGGAGGGATTTCTGCTTGGAAAAGATTCACAATTTCCTAGCAGCAATTACATTTTATCATCTCCAACCAAAATCCAATTCGAGGTATGTTTGTGCATATGACTTTCCTCCTTAATTTTAGATATAAACCCTAAATTAGTTGCTTGGAATTCAGAATTCTATTTGCCCTTACATCAGCAATCACATATTTTTCGACTCTTTTTAGGGAAATTTCTTTTTCATAAGTTAATGCACATAAACACACGTATTTTGTTTCTTATCTATAGCAAGCAAAATGATATGTGAATATATATTATATACTTTATATATATCAATTGAATTTTTTTCTAAATTACTGCTTAGGATTTGTCTTCAGTACATATATATATATATATTATAGCTGCACCAAGCATATACTTTAGTACAAACAATTCTTTGATCAAACTTTCTCTAAAGTAAAATATGACGGCAAAAGTTGACTATACCAGTGATATATCGAGTAACAGTATGAGTTGGAATTTGACGGTACGAGTAGTAAGATTGTGGCACGTTCCAGACCGCAATAAACCAGACAATCCGTTCTCCCTTGAATTAATTATGCAAGACGAAAAGGTACATTCCTTTTTAGAAAAGTAGGCTAATGATTTAAGGGATGGTTTAGTAAATGTACTTTTTATTTTATTTCTTTTTGTATTTTAGAATTTCTAACACTAATCTGGTCTTATACTTCTGATGTTGTTGATGAGTGTTCTTATTCAGTGGAGTTGTATGACATTCTTGACAAAAAAGTCATGTTTAAATTGACTGTTAAGATCTCTAACACTAAAGTGCATGCGAAAGTTTATAATGTTGTTAAGATCAGCGAAAACGATAACCTTATACAAAGTATTTAATATAGAGTATAACTAATTTTGGTGTTTATAGTATGTCCAGAGCTGAAACATTGTTTTCCTTTCCATTTTCCAAGTATAGAAGGATCTTTTTGGTTTTTGACTGCTCCATTTGTTGTGGTGGCGAGAAGCTCCCCAGTTACATGTATATTAGTGTTTCCAGAGTTAATTCTTTGTGATGGGATGTTTGACTTTTGCAGTTAGTGGAAAATTTTACTATATGTTTGACCGCAGTCCAATTGCATGTCTCCTTTACCCAAATCCTGGACATTCTGTACAATTTTCCATGTTCTTTGTTGTTGAAGAGGAAAAATCCTATGTTTATAGGTCCGGGCATTAAACTTCTGGTGATGTTGGTTTTATCCTGCAATGACACCCAACACGAAGTTGAAGACAGTTTTCGACCTGCATCTAGCTTTTTCCTGAAATAAAGCCTTAACTTTAACAAGAATTTGTTATTATATAGTGGTGTCAATGCACCACAAAATGTAAAACGTGAGAGCCTTTTAGATGAAATACCTGAAGATATTTCTGTTTTGTCAAAGCAAATCAATGACAAAGAAAAAAATAGGTGAAGGTTTTCCTGATCCCCTCTCCTTTTAGCACATCAATAGTCATAGAAGAAAGTTTATGGTTAATTTAAGGTAGATCTCATTATTTACACTGAAAGAATTTGTCTTATTATATACCTTTTGAATATACTCTTAGTCCTGATGCTTACTCAGAGAGGTAGGAAGTGTGATATCATGCATGAATGTAGTTGGATGAGTCTTCCTTTAGAAGATTTAAGCTTGATTAACTCGAGCTTAGTAGTGATTGGATGTAAGGTTCTATGTATAACTGACATTTCCATTTTACGGGGGTGACTTTAGTATCTCATACATTCTGCTTCTCATCTACAATATGATTTTAATAATTTATTTGTCTTTTCTGATTATTTGTTAACTATTTTCTTTTTGTAGGTTTTCATGGCTGATAATGAGATGCTTTCTCCTGCAAGGAATCCTGCCAAGAGAAATAGAGACGACAATGGATCATATGTAGTAGAAGTTGATTATGATCTTGCATAATTATCAAGTACTCCCTCCGGTTCACAATAAGTGTCCAATTTGCTTTGAGCATGCCCATTAAGAAAATACGAAATTCTATACAAAAATACCTACTATGACTAAACTACCCCTAATTAAACATTTAATGTGAGGAGTAAGAAAACTTTTTAGGGATATGTACATAGGGGTTATTTTGTAAAAACAAATTGAATTCTTTCTTGATTACATAACTGGACACTTATTTTGAACCAAAATGAAAAAGCAAATTGGTCACTTATTGTGAAGCGGAGGGAGTAATAAGGTCAAAAGAGTGATTAAACAGGAGAAAATTCATGAAATAAGGTTATTTAGACAATTGCATTAGCAAGTAGTTTGGTACGAAGGAGAAGTAGTTTAAGTTGTATTTTAATTTGGTTTCTGCCATTTAGAATCATGATTTATAATCTAAAGTTACTTAACTCTTTATGTTATCGATTTGATTGATATTAGAAGAGCTATTGGAAAGTTTTGAAATATCGCATTTGAATGTTTATGTTGTTATATCATTCACAGAATGATGAGAAGGAACTTTTGAATGTTATATGTGAGTTAAGTGAATGAATCAAGAGTTGAATAAGTGTCTGTGTAGTTAAGGTTTCTGTATCTACTTGTGCTTGTGAAACTTTAAACTTCTTATATATGTTTTATGTATGAGATATTGATGTCACCTCTGTAAAATGAAAAAAAGGAATCAATACTCCAGCCTTTATGCCACAGCATCCCAGTTTAGGAACCTGGGAAAAAAGTTCCTAAAGTGTACGATTAGAAACTATGTGATTTTTGAGTTTGAGATGGCTACCTTTTAAATTCATCATCCTTGACCATATTTCTTATTTATGTAGTAAATTTACTATACCTAATAGCATTGAAGTGAGCAAATAATTAAGAACAATATTATCACACTAATATTCAAAAGTACCATCCGCGCATCGCGCGGGTTTTAATACTACTAGAGAAATAAGACAATTATTTCATAGTTACGTTCTAGTGATTAGTTGACAGCCCAAAGGAAAATACAACAACAACTAACCCAATATATTTCCACAAGTGGGGTCTGAGGAGGGTAGTGTGTACGCAGACCTTACCCCTATCTAGTGAAGGTAGAGAGGCTGTTTCCAATAGACCCTCGACTTAGAAAGAGTGAGAAGAAGAAGGGGAAGAAGAGGAAGAAGACGACGGGGGAAGAAGAANTAGTACTAAACACTAACAACAAAAAATACGATAACAAAAGCGAACTAAATCACATGACGAAGTAACAATCTGGTTAAGAATATGCAGGAACCTGAGTGCTACTAAAGTAACTGGTAAGAAAAGGAGAAGCTTACAATTATGACTAACCTTCTATCCTAATCCTCGACCTTCATACCTTCCTATCAAGGGTCATGTCCTCAGTAAGCTGAAACCGCGCCATATCATGTCTAATCACCTCCCCCAAATACTTCATTGGCCTACCTCGACCTCTTCTCAAACTCGCCATGATCAGCCTCTCACATCTTGTGACAGGAGCATCAATGCTTCTCCTCTTTATGTGCCCGAATCATCTCAGCCTCGACTCCCGTATCTTGTCCTACACGGAGGCCAGTCCCACTTTGTCCCGAATAGCTTCATTACTAATCTTATGTCTCCTAGTATACCCACTCATCCACCTCAACATCCTCATTTCTGCTACTTTCATCCTCTCCACATGTAAATTCTTAATTGGCTAACATTCCGCCCCATATAGCATAGTTGGTCGGACCACCACTCTGTAAAATTTACCTTTAAGTCTCGGCGGCACATTCCTATCACATAAGACGCCGAACGCATGCCTCCATTTTATCCATCCCGTTCCAATACGATGTATGACATCCTTGTCAATCTCCCCGTTACCCTGGATAATAGACCCGATATACTTGAAACTAGCTTTCTTGGGGATAACTTGAGTATCAAGCTTCACATTCACGTGTGACTTATGAGCCCCGTCACTGAATTTGCACTAAGTATTCTGTTTAGACCCGAGATAATAGACCCGAGATACTTGAAACTAGCTTTCTTGGGGATAACTTGAGTATCAAGCTTCACATTCACGTGTGACTTATGAGCCCCGTCACTGAATTTGCACTAAGTATTCTGTTTAGTCCTGCTCAACTTGAAACCTTTAGACTCCAAGGTCTGCCTCCAAACCTCCAACCTTGCATTGACCCCGCTTCGCGTCTCGTCGATCAACATTGTATCGTCGGCAAATAGCATGCACCATGGCACTTCCCCCTGTATGTGCCGCGTCAGTACGTCCATCGCGAAGGCAAATAAAAACGGGATAAGAGTCGATCCCTGGTGCAGCCCCATCACAACTGGAAAGTGCTCCAAGTCCCCTCCCACCGTCCTCACCCGAGTCTTAGCACCATCGTACATATCCTTAATCACCCTAGTGTACACTACCGGAATGCCACTAACCTCCAGATACCTCCATAAAATTTCCCTCGGCACTTTATCGTTCGCTTTTTCAAGGTTGATAAACACCATATGCAAGTCCTTTTTCCTTTCCCTATACTGATTCACTAATCTCCTCACCAGATGAATAGCTTCCGTAGTCGAGCGTCCCGTCATGAATCCGAGCTGGTTCACGGAAATAGACACGCTCCTCCTCATCCTGACTTCCACCATGTGAAATTTAGATTCTAGAGAGACGCTTAACTATTCTTTGTTTCCTGCATTTCAATCAAATGGTGGGGAGTAGAATATTGCTTAAAGAAACAATCTTGGACGATAAGAGAAGCAATAGCAATCTTTAGGAATACATGTGTTCCAGAGAACTAGATAACTTAGAGAAGTAAAGGCCTAAGATGATTCCTGGAAACAATACTGGTACCAGCTTCTGCACTAATTTATATTTCATAAATGATATCCGGTGTGCAGGAGAAACCAAAGGCTACTTTGACATATTCTCATCTATGAAAATCCCTACACGCTGAAAAATCATTGACAGAATTAAAAACTGTGGCATAAAATACAATATACCAGTGAAACCAAATGAGAAAATATGCACTATGCCCTAAAGAAAATCATCATGGATACAGGTTCCTTTAATTTTTAGCACTAGCGGTAAATGTATATTCGTATTGGTTCCAGGTAAACTGGATGTCTCCTATAAAGAAATTTATTCTCAGTGCAAAGCAAAGGCCAGTGAAGGAGCAAATAGAATTCCACTACCCTATCGATGATAAAACTTACAACATCAGTCCCAATGATATAATCGAATGGAGGTTCAACAGCCTTTATATGATTCTCATTACCCCAGTCCAACTCTGCAGCCTCGATGGAACCAAATGAGTCTACAAGGAATAGAGCTTTCAGTCGGTCATAGTAAATACAACAACATCCTCTCAAAATTCAATTCCAGTTTGCAGCTTTCTGTTTGATAGAACGAAACACCATTAGGTTAACAGGTAAAGTTAGGTTCTTAGAAGATATCAACAGAACAGAGTTTAATTAGCAGTGCCAAAACAAACGACAAATGACAAAGAGTATACAGTACAAAAAGCTAAAATGATACAAATGGCACATTAAGCTGAAACCTGAACCTGAGCCTGTCTGCATTATCCTGGAAGTATTACGCTCCACGTTTCTCATCAGCAATGGCAAAACCTCGGTTTGGTCAGTTGAAACAACATCACATCCAAGCAATGCCATGCCTGTGGAGAGATTTGGTCGATCTCAGACAATAACTGCCCCACTGTAAATGGCATCTAAAAGAACTGAGCCTAACAAAATAAAGGCAGCTTACCAAATCCTGCAACACCGCAACCTGCTCCAAGTTCAATCACACGCTTTCCTCTCAATTTAGATGGAGAAAACCTCCCCTTTCGACAGTTTTTTTCCTATAATTTCAAATAAATAAGTTCCCAGATGATAACCTCAAAACTGAAGGAATAGGAATGCTCAAACTGTAAATATTAGTAAGTGTATAAAAGCATGAATAACTGAACAGACTCAATTTTTAAAGTCAGTGTTCCCTCTATCATAATCACCAGCCAGAAAAGGGAAAAGAAGATGAAAAATTACAGCAGGGATTAAGAAAGATGAAAAAGAGGAGTATAGTATCATGGCAAGGACAGACATTTCTGAGCAAGTCTTAGAGTAAATTAGAAACCTATAATAGCAAATCGAAAATAGCTGCGTTGAAGCTGAAGTGTATCAGAGGGGACTTTAATCCTTACCAGAAATTTTACTAAAACCATTGATGCATCCCAAACAGTTGTGCCTAAATGCTTCGAATTGGGATCCTGTCATAATTTAAAACAACAAAGAAAGGCCAACAATTCAAGATATACTAGCGGAAATTAGAGGAGAGCAGACCTTCAAACAGAAGTTAATAAGACAGTAAGGAATATATTTTGACAAGAGACAGCAAGTAAAAACTTATATCCATGCAGTTTTTGGTAAACCCGGAATCTCCTTGATGAACTGAAGGAATGAGGACAAGTATCACTGTCAGTGAAAGCTAACGGCTCTCTTTGGAGATTGTTGATGTTCACTCCATAATTTTGATTTCTTTAAGTCAAATTAAAATGAAAATCATGATTCTCGTGTTCCTTATTTCTCAATTAAAAAAATGCAATACATGCAGTACCTCAATAGAGGTGCCAAATTTGAATGGCATGAAAATACAGAAATGGATACGGCTCAAGGAGTCACTATCATAGCCAAAAGAAAAGAAAGGACGCAGACCATATTCGAATGCCTAATTACCTGGCAAAACTGAAGTTGATGGCCTAGAACTTCAAGGCAAATGGCTGAAGTGTGTGGAGAATTTAACCTGCTATGAGTTTAGACTTTAGACTAGCAAATGACATAAATGCAAGAAAAACATAAGCAAAAAGGGCCATATAGGAGATGAAAGGATGACAACGAATTAAATCAATAATGTCAACAGAAAAAATGACCTCAATCTTCCTTAATCATAGCTATGATTTTGGACTTTAGACTAGCAATGGATGTTTGAATGTAATTAAGCACTTTTAACCGTCCAAAAAAGTCAAAACAATGAAGTAAGTAGTTACAAGAGGCACAAACCTATCTTGCTCCATTATGAACAATGCTCTGAGTTGAACAACAGCGCCGGTGAAATCTACTTTGCTGTGAAAAAGGGGGGAAAACAGCAATAATAAATATTTTTATTCTTTAAGAGATAACATTTTGTTCAATCACTAATTTTGGACTACATAATTGATCTTAAGCTATTAGCAGGATTAAAAGTTTATGAGTTATAACATAGCATTTTAAAGTCTTGCATTATGGAGTGGGAAAAAAACAAGAACTTACTCCATAACTGATAATCTCACAGAAATAGCAGTCAAAGTTCTATTCTTTTTGTTCTTTTGGGTGAGTTTTCATTTCGTTTTCTTAAAGTTCTAATCTAATAACAAGAATGATAAATGTAGCTATATTATAGCATAAAAGTATCAACAAACACACTAACAAAGTAAAAAAAAAAAAAAAAAAACAGTATTACCAACCACCGAGAAAGCAAAACAAGTGTGTGGACCAACCAATTTAGGTTCTTGCATTTTTATTTTTTTTTTGTTTTGTTTTTTGACTTGCTGATAAATTGCAAAATCCAGCAATTGCAAGTGAAAATAAAATTGAAAGTTAAAAAAAAGTTTTTTTTTCCAGTGAACAAGAAACAAGCTCAAATTAGATGGGGCGTACCTGATCAGATTATGCGATTTCTCTTCCAATTCGCCGCCGGGGTGGTGTCCTAAATACGGAGTTCCTTTTTTAAGTTTTAATGCCGGCTTCTCCTTCACTATCTCAGTTGTACTTTACGTTTGCTGTGATTGTACCTTTTATTTCCTTTTTTCCTGTTAATAAACTTTCAATGGAGTAAGTAATTTTTAAGATGGTAAAATAAATAAAAAATTGTAGAAACTTTTTGTAGGTATGAGATTCAAGAAGACTCTCTCTTGTAGTTAAAAAAATCAAAAGTATCTCCTTTGTTATAGAAGTAATTTCATACAATTTTTACAAAACCTCATATAAATTTATGATTTATATTTTTCTAATATTCAAATATTAAACTTTTTTAGCAGCTCTTTTTAATCTACAGTGCAAATGAATTAGATTTCTAGCTTTTACCTAATTAACTATTACTACTTAAGTTTATATTTTCTCCAACTTTTTTATCAATTTTTTGTCTTGTAGAGATACCTAATTTTTTGCATAATTTATGGAATATAGAGGTGAAGTAATATTGTAGGCATATAAATTTTATAGGAATTAAATCCGTAAAATAGTTGGGACTATATTTTAAATTCAAGATATATTAGTTCAAATAAATTTATTGGGCTAATATAGTTGGATAATAAGTCCAATATATGGATAAAATAAGGAGAAACTTTCAGAAACCACTATGTTTTAGTGGTTTTTAGCTAGTTGTAGCTACCATTTACTATATTACTTCCTATAGCTATGTTTTGAGATTTTTTTAGAATGTATTCGATGTATTTAAGCTACTGTATTCATGAATACAGTAGCATTTCTAGGCGTGAAATATGGGATTATAGCTAGACAAATGTTTGTATTCGAGTGTATTTGACTGTATTCATGGCGTGAAACATGTGATTACAGCTGGATAAATTATTGTATTCGACTGTATTCACGGCGTGAAACAGGGGATTACACTATTTTTAAACGGAAAGTGAATCAATTAATATAATAGACTCCTAATATAACTCAACAAACTTAAATATAACACACAAAATTTGTATTTTCAGTTATAAAAAAGATTCTCAACCGAAAAACACCCCAAAAGCATAACAATCTTCAAAGAAAATATGCTGAATATTTTTCCCAGCCGATAAATACAACAAAAACAGAGCAATTTAAATACATATATACAGCTGAATACATAAATTATATTAATTAAAAAAAATATATGAATACATTCATGGAATACAACGAGACAGTGAATACAATGAAATACGTGGAATACAGCGAGATACATTGAAATACAATGAAAAAAAAGACGATGAATACAATGAAATAGATGGAAATACAGCGAGATACATTGAAATATATTAACAAAAAATTCAAGTTGCTCAGCCCCAAAACTCCGTCGTCTTCGTTCAAGAACAACCCTAATGTCATCTCGTCGAAAGGGCCGCGATTCTGACTCGAAACGCCACTGTTCATGTTACCATAATACCCTCACGTGCGCTTCAAAAAACCTATTCTTTACAATTTTTGCATTTTTATGGCGGCGGATATATGTTTTCCAATTTTTGCATTTTTACGCAAAAAAGGACCAGAAATTTTCTGGGGGAGCGTTGAATCCTTTACCTTACTATTTACGAGGCTTAGTGAATAAGCTCCTGCAAAATTATTCAATATCTTCAATATCCTCCATTGAAGAGAATGAGAACGAGATGTGGCTGCTGGAGGGTGTGAGATTGGGGATGGGCAGCCTTTTTAGGGTCCTCGGCTGAAGCTTTTGGTTAGGGATAGGAGAAATTTGAGTGGGAAGAGAAAAATAATACAAAGCTTATTTTATGGCTTAAGGGTAGGAGGTAACTTTAAATAGATATTTGGCTATAAAAAATCAAAAGGTAGCTATGGAACATAATTTTTTAAAAGGGTATTTATTTAAAATAAATAAGGTATCAACCTTTGCTATAGGAGGTAACTAATCCTTAAATAAATAAGTCTTAATCCATTGGGCTAGTCCATTTAGTTGGGCTACAAATGACAAGCACACTTCATTAGGCCCATATATGTCATCTTCCTAGAAGCTTAGTTTGGTGCCACGTGTCAAATGATGTGGCGCACCAAGTCAAATAAAAGAGCCAATAGGATTGTACCACATGTCAAAATGACAAGGCATGCTAAGTCACATTAAAAGGCTAATTAAATCGCGCCACGTGTGTAAGTGACATGTTCTGGCCAATCAAATGCGGCCTCGTCACACTTCAATTTGATTGGTCGGAAAGAGTTTATTCTTATCATAACTTTTCCCTCCCACAACTATAAATAGAGTTCTTCATAATACAGAAAGACATCAGAAATTATAACAAGAAGCAAGAGAGAGCTCGTGGATCAAAAGTTGCAGATTTCTCTAAAATCTACAAGATCAAGACGAAGATTCAAGAACAAGCAGCAAGCCCTTGGATTAAAAATACGTCAAGATTAAGATCAGGGCTCAAGCACTTGTATTAAATAAAATAAAATTCAAGATTAAGCTCAAAAGCTCTTTTATTTACTATTGAAAAGAAGAATCAGGGGATTCATAGAGATTGTAACACTCAAATATTTGAAATAAAATACTACGATTGTTGCAATATTTTTCGGTCTTGATTTTATTTTCTAGACGCAAATTTATTGTCTACAAATTCTGGCACGCCCAGTGGGACAATCTCTACCTCTCATCTCAACTTTTCAATCACCAAAGTTCAAGAGCATCGAAATGGCTTCAAATAAAATCAACTCCAGTTCAACCTCCACCAAGGCTGCTAATTCCAAGTTCTATGCTGATGTGGAAAACATACTCGAAGTTACCTGTGGAAGCTTTGGACCAGTTACGAGGAGCAAATCAAGCTCGTTAGGACAACAAGCACCCCAAGTGTCGTCCGCATCAACCCCTGTTTTCGGATCTTCTCCTCAAAAGGAGCAAGATCTTTCACAAACGCACCCGAAAGAGGAAGAGATGTAGCTGAAAAAATCAAGAAAACTCTTGCTCTGCTTGACCTCTCCTGATCCAAGCACTCTGCTGTGAAGGAAGATGACAATGCTTCAAGTGATGGATCCTCCCTACTTACACCACATAGCGTTAGCCAATCAAGGATCAATCTGTGCGAAAATCCATGCTACTTTCCATCGTCCACGATAATCATGCAAGCCATGGTGACAAACACTTCATCTGCGGAGGAGCAGTTGGCAAAATTGACGGAAGCAATCGCTGGCTTGACCAAATGCATGCAAAATCAAGATGCTAGAATCGAAAAGCTAACAGATAGGGTGGGAATCTTGATGGAAGAAGAATCCACCCATGCACCTGGCAAACTCCCAAAAGTTCAAGAGATTGATCCTCACCTACGATAAGTTGCATCCACTAAGGAAATTCCAGTCTCTTCGGAAGGGATGATTCCAATCAATCAACTAAAAGAGTTCATTGAAGGGACTATAAAAAACAAATATGAAGTTGCTTCCAAGTCCCCCTTTACCTACGCAAAGCCGTACACTTCAAGGATCGATATGTTGAAGATGCCCGCTGGCTATCAACCTCCAAAATTTCAACAGTTTGATGGCAAAGGCAATCCAAAGAAACATGTGGTGCACTTCGCTGAGACATGCAACAATGCCAGGATTTATGGAGATTACCTCGTTAAGCAGTTTGTCCGCACATTAAAAGGAAATGCTTTTGATTGGTACACGTACCTTGAGGCTAGATCTGTTGATAACTGGGATCAACTAGAGCAAGAATTCTCAATCTCTTTTATAGTACGAGACGTACTGTGAGTATGATAGAACTTACAAATACTCGTCAATGAAAGGGTGAACTAGTTATCGATTTTATCAATCATTGGAGGAATGCAAGCCTCAATTGCAAAGACATGCTTAGTTAAGCTTCGGTCATAGAGATGTGCATCCAAGGTATGCATTGGGGATTACGCTACATCTTGCAAGGTATCAATCCTGGCACATTTGAAGAACTTGCGACTCGTGCCCATGACATGGAGTTGAGCATGGCCTCCGCTGGAAATAAAAGGTTGCCTATCTATGAGCCTCGCAAAGGGAACGACAAGCAAGAAGTTAGGAAATGGGGCAAGTTCGTACCCAAATCTGAAAACAAAAAAGCCGTGAATGTCAACACATCACTTGTGAAGTTCATAACGAAGGTGAGCAAGAAGCGGAGTATGAAATCCACTTCTTTTCAAGATAAGCCAAGTGGAAAGTTGACTCTAAAAGAAATGCAAGAGAAAGAGTATCCATTTCTGGATTCTGATATGCCAGCTATTTTTGAAGAACTCCTCGAGTTAAATCTTATTGAGCTTGCGGAGATGAAGCGACCAAATGAAGCTGGGAAAACAAATGACCCAAATTACTGCAAATACCATCGACTTGTGAGCCACCCTCTGGAGAAGTGCTTTGTCTTCAAGGACAAAGTTATGGACTTGGCTCGTGAAAAGAAGATCATGCTTGAAGATGAGAAAGCAAGCGCAAACCAAGTCTTTATCACCTTTGGCTCATTCAATCCGGATGAATTATGTGATTTTAAAGAAAGTAAAGATGAAGAATTACTGGAGAATGACAAAGCTGAAGTCAATCAACCTAATGATGATAAAGGTTGGACGTTGGTGACTCGTCGTAGGCACCACAGAAGGAGCCCACGAAAAGAATCAGCAGAACAACCAACAAGGAAAATGATGGTAAAAGGACCAAAGAGATGGAATCCATTTAAGCACTTAAAGAGAGCAAAAGTGGAGGTACACCACTCTCAAAAGGCACGAAATCCAGTGACCTTGGAGGAGTTTTTACCAAGTTGGTTCCGCACGAAGATTTCCCATGAGGGTATCGATGCCTCTTGTTGCCATGCTGACAAAGGGGAAGAAAAGAATGTTGACCTACCATTGACACCATCTTCGAAAAAGCTCGTCAAGTCCATTTCTCAAGAAGTTAATGCTTGTGAGGAAAAATTTACATTCACAAATGACGATTTTCTACTTGGTGACACTCCTCGTAACCGCCCATTATACCTGGTTGGCTATATGCGCGATGAAAAGGTAAATCAAATTTTGGTTGATAGAGGATCCTCAGTAAACATCTTGCCAATTCGTACTATGAAAGAACTTGGTTTT